CGCTGTCAACGTACGCTGGACCGAGTGCGTCACGCCTATAGAGAGCGAGCACTGCGAGACTTAGCCTATGCGGACTCGAGCCAGTGCTAGGCGCGCTGTATGCGCGACCAGTAACCACGACCGGTCCTTACCAACCTTCCGGCGACTTTCTCCGGGATATACAACATCAATCAACTGAACTTGACTTAAAATACAAAAAAATACATAAAAAAAACCCTAGAATGATCCGATTAGACCTTAAGATAGTCCGGTAGGCCGATATGGCTCGTACGAACCCATTACCACCGAACAAACATACTCAACTGTAAAACTTACTCAGGGCCAAAAGCATAGCTATTAAAATCATGCCTTTTGAAACTTAGATTTTGGCTTTTACTTGGTTACAACTCAATTTGACTCGGACGATCAAATATACTAACAATCGACTTAGACTTGACCGAGTATATGAACTCCAAATTAACTATAACTTCATCACCATTAAAGACATGATTTATCAAGATTATTAAACTATCAAACTTGGCTTAATCATGCATACATAAAAATATCAAAATTTAGGGCTTAATTATTCTTAAATTCAAAGATACTCCTAAGGCATGAGCAAGAATTGATTCAACCTCATGATAATCCCTTATTATATCATATGATAGCTATTAAAATTGTTAAGCACCAGCTAGCCTTCAAAGAATTAGGAAAATGGCGCTAGGGCCTTTACATGTACTACTCGCGTCTCTTTCGGTGGCTCTCGAGCTTAGGCTTGACTCCGGTTACTATTGGCTGCAACCGATGGCTTCTATAGACTCTATACACCCCCAAAGAATCCCGGAATATGAATTGGTATGGTTGAATTCGGCTAGAACTCAAAGTGGTGTGATGATAACCTTCTCGGCACTAACAGGCACTCACGGCTTTCTCTCTATTTTTTTTTTTTTCTAAGTGTTGTATGGTATTATGGAAGTTTGCTGAATAAAAATGAAGTAAAAACAGCCTTGATCTAATACCTTTCTATTAATACGAAATGGATGAAGAGGTTGGAGGTGATGGATTCCTCCTTTAATTCTTATCACGCCACATGTCTTCTTAAGTGGCATAAGAATAGCTTAATTACTTACTCTCTTTTCTTAACATATTAGTTATGCTAGGTAATTGACAAAGGTTGACCGAAAATTCTCCACTTAAGTCATGAATTATTATTGACCTCGAGAGTAATGGACTTGGCGCGAGAATTATAGACGCTGCTTTTTCACATCACATGTGCGAGAAATGATTTGGCCGAGAACAAGACTTAATTTAAAGCTTAATATACACTAATCTATTGACTAAAATATGATCATGTCTAATGTCTAATTTAATGGATTGAATGATCTTGACTAAAATAATAAGAAAAGTTATATAAACTCAACTTAGGGTTTAAATAAGGCTCGACATTAATCGAGTTAAATTAACTCGATTCCGATCAAAACTCGACTTTGACGATTTCTCGAAATATTCTCGACTTTGATTAACTCGTCGACTTGATATAACTAATCCCGACTAATAATGTCCATTTAAAAAAGTAAACGGATCGGAAATAGTTTCTGAAATTGACTCGGTTATTAAATAAAATTAAACCGAATCGATTTTCGACTAAAGTCGAACTTATAACTGAATGACTTTATAATTGGGCTCGAAAATAAAAAAAAAAGAGCGATATTAATAAAAATAAAATAGCTTAAACTCTGAAGCTAATATCTTTCCTTTATTAATAAAAGACGGGGCGTTACACCATACGCATAATAAGATGAATTAAAAAAATAATGAATTAAATAAATAAATTATTATTATGGCACAGTCTATATAATTATTATAGCAAAGTCTATATTGTCAATATTATCATTTAAAAAGTTCATTGAAAAAACATATGTATAAAAAAAATCCATATGATCATAATTAATAGTGCAAAATTAACTATCTTTGACTTTCCATTTGGTAGTAATAATAAAATATTTTATATTACTACTATTCAATAAAATGCATGATTTCTGCAGATTTTATTATCGCAATCAACATTATGTTTTATAAATTAAAAAGTGTGCTGAAAAAATTGTCTCATATTTTTCATTAAAAAAAAATTGTTGGCCGTGAAAAAAAATATTATTTCACAATTATAGATATAAATATGATTAATTTTCATTCAACAATTCCTCTTCAAGAAAAAAGTGGCGGGACAAATTTTTGCATGATTATAGCATCAAAACATATCCAAAATATCAATATTTTAATGCATTAAAAACCATACTTTCAGCAACAAAAAAGTCATATTAAACGGAAATTGGCAAAGTTAAACAATGAGGATGGACAAGACATTGTATGTAATGGCAGATTGTTGCATAATATAGAAATATCAAGCATAATTAATAATCAACAAAAAAAAGTCAAATCTATATGAAAAAATCAAAATTAAAAACACAGCAAATTATGTGGAACATTATTGGACACTATACAATATCGAAAGAAAAATAATTTGATTTCTCTATCATTATCAACACATTCAACTTTTATCAATACATTTGCCTTTATATTAAAATCGATTTTTTGCGTAAAAGTTTTAAAAATAAAAATTCTTACAGATTCTTTTAAACATTAAACAAGAAATTCCTAATATGCGATAAATATATCTAAACAGATTAGTTATAAACTTACTTAATATTTCCAAATTTTGAACAAAATACTAAAAACTTTGAAAAACTTCGGCAAAAGACTTTGAACAACTTCGAAAACGATTTTGAACAAGTGTTAGCAAAGCTTCACTTACTGATATGATGAGAAAGACGAGAAAGAATTGAACTATTTAGTGTTCAAAATCTGAACAAAATACATAAAAGTTACATATATATGTTATAAACAGATATGAACAGATATGTTATAAACTTACCTATATATTTGTTAGTAGAGCTGAACAGATCTGTTAGAAACTTACCTATTTTTTCAAACTCTGAACAAAATACATAAAAGTTTGAAAAAGTTCGACCAATGTCATGTTCTCTTCGAAAAACGATTTCGAAAAACATCTAAATAATTTTGAATTATGTATAAAATATGATATATCTTTGAAACTTATTCACAAAGAATTTCGAAAAACGACACAACTAAATGAAAATAATAAAAAATAAAAACTACGTTTAACAAAAAATATTTCAGCTCTTCATAGATTTGTAATATTATCGCCCGATTTTGACTAACCTGTTAAGATTTAGCAACACAGATTAAGAAATCGGGACGAATATTAATTTTTCGATCACTACTGTTGGCCACAAAAACAACATTTCTCGGATGTTTTTTTTTTTTATTTTTTAAGCCTTTACTAGGAGAAAATCTCCGGTAGAACAGTTGTTTTGTATTGCATCTCGCCGAGTTTGTCGTAAGATCGGGTTAAGGATTAGGGTTTCAGACAGAGTGAATAACGAGAGAAGCGCCGACATAAAAAAAAAATGACTTACATCACTCTCAAGGAGTTTATCTCTATTTATAGTCATGTTATCATTGACCTGTTTTATATTTAATTTTGGTTACCCTACAAAATTAAGTGGACTTCTAATTTGGGATTTCTTTATCATTCAATCATTATATTTCTTTATGGCCTAAAAATTGCCATTTTGTTCAAATGTCTTAAATATTTAGCACATATCATTATTTATCAACCAAATACAATTATTTATTTTGTTGGTATTTTTTAGTTTTTTTTAAGCTTCCTATATGATCTATAGTACAAAATACAATAATTATTTAAACAAATAAAACCAGTATATGTCTTAATTTGAAGATAGTGATTTGTAGTGATGGAAATTCTGTTGATAGAAAAACCACAAATGTTGTATATAAAGAATTGTTTAACAATATTTAATTATTATTTCTTAGAACATTTTTCCAATGATTATATTATGATTTTTACTATTTTTTATATCTTTTTATTATTTTTTATTTTATTATATTGTTTTTCGTGTGCACGGGTTAAAAACTAGTGATTAATTAGTTAGACATCCAGTGGTTTGCTCATCAAAGTTCGAAAACACTTGTCATTCAAACTCATCATGTTCAATCCTTGCCGTTAATTGTTACTATAAATTCTTGGCCCAAAGGCCCGGGGACAGGTATATACAACAATAAAGATAACATGAACTTAAAAAGGTAGAGTGTAGAGTAAATCCCCTCCTCAAGTTGACGAATGCAATTAAAAGAACGGACGATCGCTTCAAGGACTCGACTCCTTATAATCTACATGTAAAAATGATCTAACATGAGTATAATGCATAATTAATATTTTTCTGAAAATTAATTTAATTAATTAAGAATCGAGGCTGAAGCATTGAAGTTCAAGGGAATATATACATATCACTTCTCTAAACTCTTCATTAAGAATATATCACATGATATATTGGCATTATAAGACTTAATGTGTCTACATTTTGCAGTGAGTAAATGAATATTTTTGAATTGATAATAAAACATTTCAAGTAATGAATGACAATACTGAAATTTATAAAATATCAAAGCTATTGTAGAAGATTCCATTTTGAATTGTTTATGACGATTAGAATTTATACATAATGTCAAATTTTTTTGGTCTTATTTGTGTCATTTTTTTTATCGGCTTTTATACTACCACAAAAATTTGAAATAATGACACCCCTTAACTCTTTGCTTAAAGAGTTTATATAATTACCCCCTCTTATTATTTAGATGAAATTGCGTTTCTTGTTTCCGTTTATACTCTTTTTGGTGGACAGTTTTAGGTATTAAAAATTTTGTCCTTTTTTTTTTTTTTTAAAACACTCATTCTCTTTCCTTGAAATCCAAAATCACTCATTCCCTGAGATCCAAAATCACTCCTCAATCCCAACAATCAATTTTTACCCAAGATCTCTTTTTCTCTTCCCCTGAGATCCCACGACTGCTCCATCCCCAATTCTGGATCTCCTCAAAACCCTATCTCCGATGATATCCATAGTAAGAGGCTGTTGAAGATGGCGGCGACGCGGTTAGGCGACGCATCCCAAGTGAAAGCATATTATTTGGATTTCATAAGCCGTTCACAGGCCCAACACTCCATCCCTCCCATCTGCAAGGAAATTGGAATACCTTCTCTCAATTCTCTTCTCATGGCGATGCGTTTTTTTTTTTTTTTTTTGANTCGATTTTGTCACTCCAGACAATGAATTTTCGGATTGTGTACGTCGTACTTGAATAATCATGATGTTCTGAATCAACATATTTGTTACTGTGTATTATATTAGTTGACAACAAGTTGTTTTCATGTTGTTTGATATGCATTGTGATGTTTTTTTGTTGTTGCTGCACAAAAACTTTGATTTTTTCTTTTCATTTTTCTCTCATACACGGTTCTGTCGCGCCGCCAACGCCGGTTGTCGATCCCGAAATCAAGTTGTTATCGTGATCCGTTAATTTGATTGCGAGAGGTTTTCTGTGTGATATGTGCATATAAGATGTTGTTTTTTATTTTTATTTCTTATTTTTTTGTGCTTAATGAACAAGAAAAAGTCCATTGCTCATATCTCTTATAAAAAATTGATTCTTATTCATGAATTATTTATCTACAATTAAAATTACTGATTGTGGAGAATGTAAACATGTTCATCAAATAATTTCAAAATTTACTTCNTTTTTTTTTTTTTTTTGCAAGAATTTGGGTTTGTATATAGTTTATTCGTGAGTCGATCTTTTCGATTTTGTCACTCCAGACAATGAATTTTCGGATTGTGTACGTCGTACTTGAATAATCATGATGTTCTGAATCAACATATTTGTTACTGTGTATCATATTAGTTGACAACAAGTTGTTTTCATGTTGTTTGATATGCATTGTGATGTTTTTTTGTTGTTGCTGCACAAAAACTCTAATTTTTTCTTTTCATTTTTCTCTCATACACGGTTCTGTCGCGCCGCCAACGCCGGTTGTCGATCCCGAAATCAAGTTGTTATCGTGATCCGTTAATTTGATTGCGAGAGGTTTTCTGTGTGATATGTGCATATAAGATGTTGTTTTTTATTTTTTATTTCTTATTTTTTTGTGCTTAATGAACAAGAAAAAGTCCATTGCTCATATCTCTTATAAAAAATTGACTCTTATTCATGAATTATTTATCTACAATTAAAATTACTGATTGTGGAGAATGTAAACATGTTCATCAAATAATTTCAAAATTTACTTC